CCCGACACCAGATCGCATTTTCTAACATCATTCCTGTTTCCCTTTGTTTGAGAAGGGCTGAGTAGCAACAAGGAAGGAAAGAAGCAGGCCTGTCTCATGTGAAATGTTTATGCACTAATCCTGCAAGAAAGAATTTAATGTTTAAAAGTAAGGGCTCTGGGGCTGGACTCTTGGCTCTCTCATGTCTTAGCCGTGGAGCGTTAAACAAGGTACTCCGTCTCCCTAAGCCTTTTTTTTTTTCCCTGTAGAATGGGTATAACAGTAGTGCCAGCCTCAGAGCGTTCCTGAGAGAGCCTAGAAGACCATGCAGGCCAGCAGCTTGTCTCAGACGCTGGCACTGGTGCCCAGCCAGTGTTGCTGATCCTATCTGTAAACTGGGGAGGTAGCCTGAAGTGGGAGATAAATGAAGCTCTGTTTCAGCACTGTGGTTCTGTGACTTCAGGGCCCGCTCCTGTTCTTGCTGACCTGCAGGAGGACTGGAGCCCCTCACGCTGGCAGGCTTGAGGTCCCTCCTTCTCCTTTAGAATGGGATTGACTTACACAAGGAAGAAAAGCTCTTGGGAAGATGCCTTGATCTTTTAAGTGTACACAAAGGTAGACTGACTACATGAACTACATAGACTACATGAACATTCCATAGGAAGTTAAAAATCCAGATTTGTGTATGCCAGGACTGTTTCTTGGGCAGGAATTAAGAAAAGTTTTACTTTAGACTATGTACTTCTATATTGTTTGAAACTTATAGTGAGAGCATGCTTTACTTGATCATCAAAATAATAATAAATGTATAAGCAAATTTTTAAATTTTTTTGAAGAGATTTATTTATTATTTTATTAGAAAGGCAGAGAGAGAGAGAGAGAGAGAGAGGTCTTCCATCCGCTGGTTCACTCCCCAGATGGCCGCAACGGCCAAAGCTGTGCTGATCCAAAGCCAGGAGCCAGGAGCTTCTTCTGGGTCTCCCATGTGGGTGCAGGGGCCCAAGAACTTGGACTGTCTTCCACTGCTTTCCCAGGCCCTAGCAGAGAACTGGATTGGAAGTGGAGCAGCCGGGTCCTACTGGCAGCCATATGGGATGCCGGCACTGCAGGCGGCAGCCTTACCCGCTATGCCACAGCACCAGCCCCTCTAACTTTCTGCACTCAGCATCACATTTATTCTACCATGGACAGCATGATTTTCGTGACTGCCCCTTTCTTGTAATGTCCGAAGCCCACCCTCTACTGCTGCACAGTTTGGCTGGCTGCTCCCAGTTTTCCGGCCTCGGGAGGAATGATAGACCTTGGAGAATCACGCGATGCAGATGTGTTTGGCGTGCTTCCTCTCTTTGGGGAGAGTCACTGCTCTGTCTTTTCTTCTTCCACTTTGTATCCTTTTACTTTTGGGTGGAGGCCCAGAGAGCTCCACAGGGGGTGGTGTGTGTTTAAGAAACTCAGCTAAAAAAGCAAACAGATGGCAAGTTCTGAAGGCCGCAAGGAGTTCTGAAGGCCGCGTGTGGGGAAAATGCTGAGCATTGGAACTGCCCTACCGCTGCTACCCCATGGGACAGGCCATTTTCCTGGGCCGCCAAAGTTCTGGCGGGCATGTGGGCACTCCTCGCCCGGCTGATGACAGACGAGTAGTCCTCACCTCCACGGTTAGGCATAACCCCTAGCAGGTGTCCTCAATCCCGCAAACACTCCTGGAAATGCCTACCAGCAAGCGTGGTGACATCAGCAAATTGGGACCAGCTGGGAGCTTTGGGTTTCATCTGAAAAGATAGCCTCTTGGACATCTCTGAGCCAGGGTCCAGTGGTGACTCAGGAAGGAATGCCACTGACGAGCCGTGGGCATGCCAGAGAATTACTCAGCACATGCCAACAAGTAACCTCATCCGATAATCAGCCGCCAGCCAATCTGCGGACGCTTTGCGTAACAGCATATTTGGATTTGGGGCTTAGCTTGAAGGGCTTGAGTTTCATATGTGCCTGAGCATACTCCCAGCCTCCCGGGGCCCGTCCTGTGTGCCCGGCCTCGGCTTGCAAGCGCAGAGAGCGGTGCTCCTAGGAGCCAGGGCTCTGCCCTGGAGGCAGTGCCGAGCTCACCGGGGATCAGCCGTCTCTCATCTGGCTGCAGCCCTCTCGCCAGCCAGCACGACTTCTCCATGCGTCCTCCTGTTTCTTAACCAGGAGGCCAGCAGGGCGGGGACTTCAGAGCCATTCCAGGTATTGTCCTAACCTTCGATGCACTTTGTCAACAACAAGAGAGGTGTTTTGACTGACGACTGCTAATGTAACAAAATTCTATCGGTCATGGCTGTAGGAACTGGTGAAGTATGCATGCAGCAACAGGTACGTGGGCTGCCCAAGAGCTTCTGAAGGACAAAGAAGTGCACACATTTTGAGGCCCCTTCCTCATGGCTCTGACCTTTCTCCTGCAGATACCAAGACAGCCAAGGGTCTGTCGGATTTAATTTAGGGTCTGCATTGTGATGAAGCACACCCGCTTGCTTGTGCACATTTGCTGCACAGAGGCAGCCATAATCTGAGGTCTCCTAGAGTTTGAAGCCACATGACCTGGTGGCTTGCCCACTTCATCTGCCCTGCCACTAAAATCTGTGACAGTTTCTCCAAGGACTTGGATATTTGTATACTCAAGATGATACCGGACCTAACGTGTTCAAACAGCAGTACCTTAGATGACTGACAAGGGGTAATTAATGATATTCACACTTCTCCCAATGAAGGAAACACATTCAAATTCTAAACAAGAAAAGAATTTTCCCATTAGATGGGGCACTTAAAATGTCTCTGCCCTTGCCATGATGGTGAAAGGGAACCCAGACCTCATCAAGGGACTATGACTACAGAGTGACCAAGTTAGAGAGACTGAGAGATGTGTGGTCCCTCAGCGATTGCTCTGTTAGAGGGACACAACGCCGTCCTTAGGAATAAATTGGCAAAGATGTGGTACCTAAAGACAGCGCTTTAAAATAGAAACGAACGTCTCATTTAGCATCCTGAAGACAGACATGTCAGCACAGACCTAATCATCAGACCTCATGGGATGTTCAGAAGTTCTCCAAGGAGGAGTGAACAATGAGATTTCCCTCACCCCGTCAGTTAAGAGTTAGTACTAGTCCTTTAAGAGGGAGAAACTGAAGGTTGATGTCTGACCACATTAGATATCATGCTTATTATCAAATGAGGGTTCAATCATCTTTTAAAAAGTTACTTTTTCATCCAGATTTGATGAGAATCCCTCTAAAAGTATTAATCATAAATATATTTGGGCTGCAAAGAATCCTTACTGTGTCTCCAATTTTTTAAAAAGATTTATTTATTTACTTGAAAGACAGAGTTACACACAGAGAGAAGGAGAGGTAGAGAGAGAGAGGTCCTCCATCTGCTGGTTCACTCCCCAATTAGCCACAATGGCTGGAGCTGTGCCAATCCAAAGCCAGGAGCCAGGAGCTTCCTTCAAGTCTCCCATGCGGGTGCAGGGGCCCAAGGACTTGGGCCGCCTGCCACTGTTTTCCCAGGCCAGGCCATAGCAGAGAGCTGGATGGGAAATGGAGCACCCAGGACTTGAACTGGCGTCCATATGGGATGCCAGCACTGCAGGCAGCGGCTTTACCTGCTATGCCACAGCACCAGCCCCTGTGTCTCCAATTTTAACCGTGGATGACAGAAAGGAGACGATGAGCAACCCAAGGACCTATTAACATTTTTTGTAGCACTGGGTTTAGCTGCACATCAAGGTTATCATTAAAGTGGACAATTTCTTTCAAGGTAAAAAAAAATTTACTGCTTGCGGGGCTGGCACTGTGGCGCAGCAGGTTCAAGAGCAGCTTGCAATGCTGGCATCCTCTGTCGGAGCGCTGGTTTGAGTCCCAGCTACTCTCTTTCTGATCCGGCTTCCTAATAACACACCTGGGAAAGCAGCAGATGATGGCTCAATTATCTGGGTCCCTGCCACCCACGTGGGAGACCAGGAGGGAGTTCCTGGTTCCTGGCTTTGGGCTGGCTCAGCCCCAGCCATTGTGTGCATTTGGGGTGTGAACCGGCAGATGGAAGATCTCTCTCTCTGTTTCTCACACAGACTCTGCCTTTCATACAAATAAATGATTTTTTTAAAAGAGAGAATTTTTAAAAATGCATTACTTGTGTTTTACAAACACAATCATGAAGCACAATGATTATTGATGCTTTATTGGTAGTTACAAGCCTCCAAAAATCCCAAGCGGAACCTCCACTAACTGTGTGAAAGAGCAGAAAACGTGGTCTCCAGTGATAATAACGAGGGGAAGGGATACATTTGGTAAATCCTCTGCGTTATAATAATCTGTATAATCTTCATTATGGAGATTAATCAACCCAAAGCCCCCAAATGACACAGACGGTTTTTGAAGGTTTAAGAGGTTTGCTTCAAAGAGCTAAATCTTTCATGTAAGTTATATGGAGCTCATTAAAAGGTTTTAAAGTCACAGTACACGTAGAACCCCCTGAGCTGGTGCTCAGGAGGACTGTGGAGCACTGCGTGCAAGCTGGGGCATTTGCCCTCCGCTGCTGTCTTCTGCTGCTGCCTGGGAAGCAGCTGTTCCCAGGAAGGGCCCTGCAGAACCTCCTCGGAGGCAAGTACCAGGATGCGGCTACTGGGCTGCTCCACGCTTCGGCTCGGGCCTCGCCTGGGGGCAGGTTGTTCCTGGAGTTCCTTGGGTGTCCCGGCTCATCTCCCAGCCTTGCTTGCCCCATGAGCAGCACTGTGAGGGGTTCTCAAAGAAAGAACCCTTCCAGCGCCATACCATTCCGATTAATGAGCCCCAACAAACACGTATTGACACCTGTCGGGAGCAAGGCGTGGAGCCGTCTCCCCTCGTGCTCTATTTACCTGCTTTAGTCCCGCAGCATGTCCTTCTAATTATCCGGCAAGCACCTTGCAACTAGGCAGCCAATCTAGAGTAATAGGGAGTCTGTCCTCCCTAGTTAAATCCACAGGATGAACTTCTCAACTCATCTTCTTCAAGGAAAAGCAGCTGTTGGCTGAGTCACATGTGTGTTTGTTTATGCATGTCTTGTAACTTGCATACACACTCACCGAGCAGCTCCCCCTCCCCGAAGGCTACCTTCCAGATATGTGTGTCAAGTGATGTAAAGGTTGCCAGGGCTATAATCTCTGTTTAGTCAATAGTATGCTGTGGGAAGCACCCCAGTGGGGACAGTGGAGCTTAGAGGAATCCCTAGGTACTTTGAAAGTTTGGAATCTTCATTCACATTTTTAAAAGATTTATTTATTTATTTGAAAGTCAGAGTTACACAGAGAAAGAGAGGCAGAGAGAGAGAGAGAGAGAGAGAGAGAGAGAGAGAGAGGTCTTCCATCTGCTGGTTCACTCCCCAATTGGCTGCAATGGCTGGAACTGTGCCGATCCGAAGCCAGAAGCCAGGAGCTTCTTCCGGGTCTCCCATGCGGGTGCAGGGGCCCAAAGACTTGAGCCATCTTCCACTGCTTTCCCAGGCCACAGCAGAGAGCTGGATCAGAAGTGGAGCAGCTGGGACTTGAACCAGTGCCCATGTGCACTGCAGGCGGTGGCTTTACCTGCTATGCTACAGCGCTAGCCCCAATTCACCTTTTAAAAAGTGTTGTTTTGGGGCCGGCGCCGTGGCTCACTTGGTTAAAAAGTGTTGTCAGTGACTGCATTTGGTTGCCATTGCTTGAGAACTCATCTTTGTAGAAGGGTCGGGTAAGCCTGGAGCACTGTTTCTGCCTTCGTAGATGCCAGTTTGTTTCGCATGTTTGGGGTACATTGGGATTATCCAATTCTTTTGACAAGGGTGGAAAAAGGGTGAAAATCATAGTTAATGTGAAAGGGGAGTGAAGGAGGGAGGACTTAATTACTTAGAAGTGCCAATGACTAATTTCTTGGATCTACCGCCTTCTGTCTGTGTGAGTGTTGGATGCTCTGAGCCTCGGTTTTCTCATCTGTATAATTGGAATACTAATAGGACCAAGCTCTGGAAGTTGAGACATGTAATAGGTTGTTACTTGTTCAATATTCAGAGCACTGTCTGGCACATAGTCAATGCTGTCTAAATGCCACCCATTCTTCATTTCTAGCTGATACACAAGGGGTCTGCTGCACCTTGGGACAGAGTCCTTCTATATATCCTGCTGGTTTTTTTTTTTTTTTTTTTTTTTTGACAGGCAGAGTGGACAGTGAGAGAGAGAGAGAGAGAAAGGTCTTCCTTTTGCCGTTGGTTCACCCTCCAATGGCCGCCACGGCTGGCGCGCTGCGGCCGGCACACCGCGCTGATCCAATGGCAGGAGCCAGGTGCTTCTCCTGGTCTCCCATGGGGTGCAGGGCCCAAGCACTTGGGCCATCCTCCACTGCACTCCCTGGCCACAGCAGAGAGCTGGCCTGGAAGAGGGGCAACCGGGACTAGTGTCCAGCGCCCCAACTGGGACTAGAACCTGGTGTGCCGGCGCCGCAAGGCGGAGGATTAGCCTAGTGAGCCGCGGCACCGGCGAGTCCTTCTATATATCAACACCATCCACAGTAGTGCGGAAGATGTTGGTGTCAGTAAGGCCAGTTGACATCCAAACTTCTCCTCCCAGCCTTCTGCTGCTATCCCCTCCTCTCCCCAGGCTGTCTTCTTATCTACTGTAAGCCTTTGATAACTTATCAGGTAACTCAAAGGAATTTGTACCGAGACAAGGATCAAAACTGTAAGTGAAAAGTGGAAACCCCTCAAGCCACACCCCAGGAGAGGTTGCTTCCTTGATCGCCCAGTGAAGCTGACTCTGGGTCACTGGCACTTCTCACCCACCGAGGTGCTGCCCTTCCAAACCTTGCAATCTACAGGAGAGAACCCTGACCCAGAGCGATCAGAAAGGAAGTAACACAGCTATCTAGGTTGCGTAATGCCCCTGTCCCACGTGTTAGCAGGGAGGTGCTAGGCACACTCAGTGGGAACAAGACCAGTTCTTTAGCCCCAGGAACTTCACAGTTTAATGGAAGGCACAAACCACATCAGATGGCGATAAGGAAATGTATGTGAAAAAAAGGAAAAGAGAGGCATGTTGACAGGGGACGGCCTGAGGAGCTGAGCGAACAGGAACCTTTCTCCAGAGCTGGAAAGCAGGGAGGTCTTTGGAAAGGGTTGGTCGCACACTGCCTCAAGGCTAGTGAGGACTGGAAAGTGACTTCCCACGCCCTTTCTAGCTGGATTAACTGAACTCTAGGGCACCGGGCTCTGCGCTGGGGAGACCCAGCGGCCAGAGTATACCAGTGGCTCACTCTCGTCTATTTGACATCATCTCTAGATGTCCATGTCACTTCACCCTTCCACATCAGACACGCCGATTCTTGGGTGGTCCACCACGCCACTTCCTGGCAAACCTCAGTTCCTTTACTCTAGGTGGAGGGCTGGGGGGCTTGGATCTGATTTCAAAAGCAGAGGGGAAATTGAAACCAGAAAGGCTTTGTGATGAACTTTGAGAAATTTTTTTTTTTCCCCTCTACCAAAGGTTTTCCAAGACTGGTATCTCTGGCTTGGAGCTTGACTGTGTGTGTGAATTAACCATTCAAAATCAAAGTCCTTTCATAATTTGATCTAGTTATGCAAACACAGTCCATTGATGCTAACAAATAGAGACCAGATGCAAATAACAAGCTCAAGCATAACATGGAATAACTAGCAGGAGCTAAAGCAGTGTCTTCCTCCTCACCACCTTGCTACCTCATAAGACTTCCTTCCATTTAAAAATAAGCAAGAAGAATAAAAAAAGGAGGACTCTTAGGACGTTTCTAAGGTTCTAATGGTCTTAAAATGACAGCAATAGAGTTGCTAGGATCACCCAAGATTGCCTTGTAAACAACTGAAACCATGTAGAGTTATGTGGAGTTAGACATGCATCCCTAAGAAAAGCCAGGTACCCAATATTTCATAAATGTGCGTAACAGAAGGAAAAATTGATTACAATGGGCAAACAGCCTGGAAATGGAGGTCATTGAGTCAGTGACCCTCCCAAGAAAACACAGCTCTCTACATTTCTTCAACAGGACTTCCTGAATATGGTGAAATTGTGGGCCATTTCCTGGGACACCGGTGTTGAGATTACTGTGCACAGCCAGGCAAACACTTGTTGGGAGAGGCTCTGTATTCCTGGGAATCCAAGAATGGTAATGGTATTGCCATTTTCTGTAAACAAGAAAAGTTCAATTGAATAAAAGGAGATGGGTAATACAAATAATCTCACACGCCATCTCCAGACCTCTGAGGCAATGGCTATTGCTGCCTGCTGTTTTCACAATGCCATTGCCTTGTGAATTGCTCTTTGATCAAGAGGCTAAATAAGTCTTGATTCAAGGCCAGTGCTGTGGCGTAGGGGGTAAGCCGCCAACTGTAGCGCCAGCATCCCATATGGGCACTGGTTTGAGTCCTGGCTTCTCCACTTTTGATCCAGCTCTCTGCTATGGTCTGGGAAAAGTCAGTGGGAGATGGCCCAAGTCTTGGGCCCCTACACCTATGTGAGAGACCTGGAAGAAGTTCCTGGCTTTGGATCAGTCAAGCTCCAGCCGTTGCGGCCATTTAGGGGAGTGAACCAGAGGGTGGAAGATCTCTCTCTCTCTCTCTCTCTCTCTCTCTGTAACTCTGCCTTTCAAATAAATAAATATTTTTTAAAAAAAGTGTTGATTCACAAATTGGGTCAAATTTCCTACTGTTAGCATAATTTTAAAAAAAGATTTATTCGTTTATTTGAAAGGCAGAGTTAGAGAGAGAGAAGAGAGAGAGATTTTCAATCCTCTGGTTCACTCCTAAAAGGGCAATAGCTGGGTCTGGGCCTCCCATATAGGTGGCAGGAGCCCAGGGACCTGGGCCATCCTCTGCTGCTTCCCAGGCACATTGGCAGGGATCTGGATCAGAAGCGGAGCCGTCAGGACTCAAACCAGTGTTCATATGGGATGCTGACTGCAGGTGGCGGTTTAACCCACCGCGCCACAATACCAGTCCCCAGCACAATTTTTAATTTTTAAAATTGATTCTTTTAGGTAGACAGATCCAGGACTGTGGGCCTTCTGAATCTTCTTATGGGTTGCTCAGAAAGAAAAAAAAAAAAAAAAGTGAAATTTGAATAGAGAAAGAGAAAGAGCGAGCTAGCGAGCAGTGCTTCAAGTTAGGAAAACCAGAGAAGCCTTTGGGTGAAATCTTGCTGATTTAGCTCTGGAACAGAAACAGACACTAACCAGGGAATCTCCAGAAGGTGCTCGGTCGATGCGGGTGAGAAGTCTGCCTGTGGGGACCCTGCAGCTCCTTCCGTGAGCTCCTCCAGCACGTGGAGGCTGGCAGCGGCAGTTCTTCCTACACTCGACTGCACATCCCTCCTCCGGCAGCTCCGCTCATTCTCTCCCTTCCTGTCTGAAGAGAAGCAGGAAGGGTGCTGATGTGGCTGGGCTGACATCTCTGTTCTGTCTGTACTATATTACACTTGCCCTTGACTCCCCTTCTGTGGGCTAAATGACCCCCAATTTTGTAAGGTTTTTTTTTTTTTTTTTTCCGAACAGGTCACTTCCCAGACATTTCCATGTGGCAATCTGAAGTCACAAATGTTTAGAAAGAACTTGCATATTACCATATAGATGGAGCCACGCTGAGATAAATACTGTGCTTGATTCAGAGAGGTGCTGAAATCCCCACACCCTCTGCAGTCAATGGTGGCCCTGCAGGTTTCTGTCTTTCTCGCCCAGCCTGGAAGCAGGTGATCGCTGAGGAGTCAGACTAATAAGATGCACCCTCACACTGATTAAACGTCCATTTTCTTGGAGAAATGGCTGACAGGAGCAGGATAAAGCTGCGAGGAAGCTTGTAGCAATTTCACAAATCTACCGCTACCAGTGAGCTTTATTTGTGTGCTTAGAGCTATTATTAGCAAAACAATGGCTGGAAAATGTACCAGGGAGAAAATTAAGAAATGACAGACTTGTTTTTTAAGAGTAGGAGAAAAGCTTCTTTTGTTAAGTTTTTCAAGGCTGTTCTCAAGGAGAGAAGCGGAGAGTTTCACTCGAGCAGGATGCAGCATCCAACCGTGGCAGCTGGGAGCAGGTGAAGGGAGCTCATTGCCTGCGGTGGGCTTCGCGCTCCGCTGCAGTGGTCAAGGCAGAAGCCCACTCAGGGCCCTCTACAGCGCAAGGGAAGGGGAATCCTGAGCAGCATGACAGCTACTGCTGAAGGCACCTGGGAATCACCGTGTAGGTGTCATGGGTGTCACACGGTACCCAGGAGGGTGGTGGTGGCTGCTTTAAAAGAGTAACAGAGGAGTCGGCGCTGTGGTGTAGCACGGCCACCTGCAGTGCCGGCATCCCATGTGGGCGCCGGTTCGAGTCCCTGCTGCTCCACGTCTGATCCAGCTCTCTGCTGTGGCCTGGAAAGCAGTAAAAGACGGCCCAAGTGCTTGGGCCCCTGCACCTACATGGGAGACCCGGAAGAAGCTCCTGGCTCCTGGCTTTGGATCAGCCCAGCTCTGGCTATTGTGGCCATGTGGGGAGTGAACCAGCAGATGGAAGACCTCTCTATCTTGCTCTCTCTCTCTCTGACTCTACCTTCCTATTAGATTGAATCGTTTCTGTAAAAAAAGAAAAAAAAAAAGATAAGCCGAACGGGATGTTCCTAGAGCTGCACTTTCCATTGCAGTGGCCACAGCAATATATGCTGTTGAGTCCTCAGAGTGGAGCTAGTCTGGTCGAGATGTGCTGTAAGTGCAAAATATACACCAAGATTCAAAGGCTTGCTGTAAAAAATGCAGAAGACACCATGAATCATTTTTATTTTAATTTTAACTACATATTGAAGCTATTAGCTTGGATAGAAGGGGCTAAGTAAAATATATCTGCATCATTAAAATCAATGTTATAGCATAGATGAACTTTGAGAACATTATGCTAAGTGAAAGAAGCCCCACACAAAGGCCACACATTGTTTGATTCTGTTTATGAAATGGTCAACAAGCAGATCCATAGAGATGGAAGGTAAATGAATGGGTGCCAAGGACTGAGGGGTTGGGGAGGGAAATGGGAAGCGAGGGCTAATGGTATAGGGTTGTTTTTTTTTTAAATAGGGTGATGAAAATATTCCAGAATCGATCATGAATCTGGTTGTGCAACTCTGAGAACATATTCAACTGTACACTTTAAATGAACGAATTGTCTGATTTGACAATTTTATCTCAATAATGTTTAAAATAAATAAATTTGGGTGCAAAAAATTATACCTTATTTTTAACTTTTTTTTTTTTTTTGACAGGCAGAGTTAGTGAGAGAGACAGAGAGAAAGGTCTTCCTTCCATTGGTTCACTCCCCAAATGGCAGCCATGGCCGGCGCACTGCGCTGATCCGAAGCCAGGAGCCAGGTGCTTCCTCCTGGTCTCCCATGTGGGTGCAGGGCCCAAGGACCCGGGCCATCCTCCACTGCACTCCCGGGCCACAGCAGAGAGCTGGACTGGAAGAGGAGCAACCGGGACAGAATCCGGGGCCCCAACCGGGACTAGAACCGGGAGTGCTGGCGCCACAGGCGGAGGATTAGCCTAGTGAGCTGTGGCGCCAGCCTATTTTTAACTTTTAAAAGTATGGCTACTAGAAAATGTAAAAGTCTTAAGTGGTTGGCATTGTTTTTCTATTGGCCACACCAGACTCAATGGGGATGGAGAATGGTGAAGCCAGCACAAATCAGGGTGAGTGGTACCTAGGGAGAATGCCACACCCACACAGGGCAGAAGTACAGCCAGAACTGCTCATCTTCGGTGCAGGACAAGGTGAAATGAAGGGTTGAGGGAGAGGGTTTTTGACGATAAGGATAATATCCCTGGACCAGGGCAGTCCCCCGTATCAAGCACCAGCAATGGACGGATGGCAGACTGAAGTTCTAGCCCCTGGGCAAACAGGGAGCACCATCTGCAGTCACCTCCCAGGAAGAATTCTTATCAGTCCTGCTGACATAAGAGAGGGCGGGGCTGCCCTACCTGTCACAGATGGCTGCCCCACCTGCCTCTAGCGCTGGCCTATAGCTGCTACGGCTGAGAGACATCTTGACTCACCTGTAACCTATTTGCTTACCTGTAACCTAGCCTGGGCTAGCTGTTTTGGCAAACCAGGAAACTCTTGCCGTGTCCTGGGGGATGGAGACTTTTTCAAGATGTGTTGGCCAAGGGAGCTTTTCTGGGCTATTTATGAAATTCCATAAGCAAACCCTAGACTTATTTGGAGGCTTGACTGGATGCAACCCAAACTCCCTAAAAGGAAGCCTTGGGTGCCCCCTTAGCATCTTCTTCCCAACCTATGTTTCTTTCCAATTCAGTTTTTCCATTTGTTTCTTCCCTCCCCTGCAGATACAACAGTATTTCAAATGGTACAGCTCAGTGGATGCTGGATAAGAAAACCACACTTACGGCCCTCTGGAAGAAAGGATCCCATTGTTTGTTTTTGGAGACCAGAAAGATGAACTAGAACCCCAAAACCTAGTTCTGGAGGATGGGTCGGTAGCCTAGAAAACAGGAGAGAAAATCAAATACATGGTACTTGGCAGTGACTCTCAGATGTCCTGGAATTTTTTTTTCAACTTCAATACACTTTGTTTTTTCTCCTGGCTGATTTTATCCTGTTTCCATACACAGGATGGGTGACAGGGAAAGCAAACAGGAGAGGAAAAGTTCATGACCCAGAACCATTGTACAAGGCAAAGCCATATACCTGGTATAAGAAAAGCAAAAAGTGACCTGTGTTCTATGAAGGTATATGAATCACAACTGAGAGCATTCTCTGTATGACTGTGAGGTCTTTCAGAGCAAGGATTGCAGAATATTCTTCTCTGTATCTCCACCACTTGGCCTGGCCAAGTAGTCAAGGACCATTTGTAGCATGGATGGATAGACAAACGGATGCGACATGGGTGTTATTCGCGTTATGTAATGGCTTGTCGTTCTGAGTGGTAGATACCACTTTCTCAAGAAAGACTTGAGAGATTTTAATTTTGTAACAGGGAAATCAACTCTGAGAGTTAAACTAAAAATAACGTAATAGCAAGGCCCATATTGAATTTTGTCATCTATCTAATTTTTTCCAAACAGCACTTACATGTGCTGAATAAGGGTGAGGGTGGAAAGAGAAATCAAAGCCTAAGGACAGCTCATGGAGTCTCTTTCTCAGTGGATCTTACAAAACGCAGAGCACTGAGGCGCGGACAAGTGACTTAACGATGATGTCGTCAGGGCCTTCGGAACAAATATTGCCTTTTCCATTCCCACTGTTGGTACTTACACAGCACAGCTGGCACATCGTCAAAAGACTGAGATCCCCTCATTCTTATCTTCTGAGTCAGGCAGTACAAGATGGTGAAAAGCTTGCTCCAAAAGGCGCTTGAATACTCCATGCCTTGTCCCTGCATGTGTGCAGGCAGCTGGGAGGCCTACATCAACCAGACAGGAAAGGAGAGGAATGAACTGTCCAACAGTCAGCCTTTCCAGCCTAAGAAGAGAGGGCGGGGTGCCCCGTCCAGCAGGCCGGAGCCTCCAGAGCTGTGTCTCATCTCTGGCTTTGCCGATCTGTTTCACTGGGACTTAGGCTCAGAAGCGAGATGCTTCAGTATTGTTTTCTGTTCTACACTTTCTCCTTCATCAGCTACATAGTCTAAAAGATGAAAGAATCACTCAGTTCAGTAGTAATTTTAGAACTGATTGAAACTCACGGGGCCTGCGCTGTGGCGAAGTGGGTTAACGCCCTGGCCTGAAGTGCTGGCATCCCATATGGGCGCCGGTTCGAGTCCCGGCTGCTCCTCTTGTGATCCAGCTCTCTGCTATGGCCTGGGAAACCAGTGGAAGATGGCCCAAGTGCTTGGGCCCCTGCACCCGCATGGGAGACCTGGAGGAGGCTCTTGGCTCCTGGCTTCGAATCACCGCAGCTCCAGTCTTTGTGGTCAATTGGGGAGTGAGCCATTGGATGGAAGATCTCTCTCTTTCTCTCTCTCTCTCTCTCTGCCTCTCCTCTCTCTCTGTAACTCTGACTTTCAAATAAATAAATAAATCTTAAAAAAAAAAAAAGAAACTCGTTGATTGTGGGCAGTAGAGGGGACCGGAGTAGCATACAGGATGGCGGGTAAAGCAATTCTTTCTGGACAATGATTCTTTTCTCCAAATGAGTTGGCTTTTTTCGTGTGTTTGGCAGTTTACAAACAGAGAAGACAAAGGCTGAGCTTGGAAGAATCTCAAACCTGATTTCTTTTTATGTTTTCAAATCTAATCTTTTAAGCTTTTTCATTTTCATCAAGACATTTAAACATCAGGATACAGAAAGTTTTCTATCTCTGGATGGTTCTGCAGGAGCATTTATAAGGCTCATCTGGAATATTAGAAGGCAGGGAACTTCAAAGAAAGCAGAATTGTGTGTTACTTTCAGATTAGATCTTTAAGAATTCTGTGCAACACTCTTATGCGGGTACAAGGCACGCCAGAAAATGAGATGAACGTGACTCCTGCAGGGTGAGCAAAGAAAGCTGGATTCTTGGAAGGAAATAGCATTCTGTGATATCATGACTGGCGGGGGCCGTGCAGGTGCAGCTGGAGGAGAGCCCTTGGCATCAGGGCTCCCTGTAATGGGTCCAAATCCCTGGTGCCCATTCTCCTTGACCCAAGTCACTCCTGCTCATGAGATCAGTATTCTGACTCACAAGTAGCTAGCAGCAGCTGAAAGGAAATGATGTGGCAATTGTATCTGAAGACTAGTTAAATGCTGGAAACAGAAGAGAAAATCCATTTAAAAATATGCCACTGTGTTTCAAAAGGCTGTGCAAGATTTAAAAAGTATGTTTAGCATTCCAAGTATTTTCCCTTCTGTGTCTTTAGAGACTGGCTCTAAGAGTGATGTTTTGTTTATTTAACATTTAATCAGGAGAGATTTGGACCCCACCAGCTTTTGAGCAACAGACTCAGTAGCCCCGCCTCTTTGCATTTGGGCTGAAGAGAGAACTTCAACCAGACGGAGATTTGATGTCTGTAATACGCACTAAAAGATCAGCTGGTCTAACTTTACGGGGCTAATAAAAGGGAAAATTTTTCCTGTGCTCAGGTCTTTTATGAATTATAAATAACCATTCACTTTGGAAGATAGCACATCGTAAAATTTTTTTTCGCAAATATGCACAAATCCATTTTAAGATCCAAGGAAAAAGATGTTCAACAGTCTCAGATGTACTCAGTTTTGATTTCGTGGGGAAACATGTTCTTTTACCATATGGATGCTTTTAAGGGGGCCTTCAGCTGGGCTCAATAACGACACCCCAGTGGCTAAATAAGGGATTTCTTGCCTTCTAACGTTATTTCTCTGTTATTAAAGGTGGGAAAACCTTCCACAAATAGCATACTATTAGAGTGCTTTAGGGGGTGCCCTGGGAATCAAGGTTATGTGTCTGCTCCAGAAATATTGTCTGTAATTATCATTCCTCAGTGGTTCTGAGGATGCATTCTTGGTGTTTTCATTAATTTCTTGATTCTACCAGTCTGTAGTGAGTTCTGGCTCTTGATATTCAATATTTCACAGTAGGAGGATTGTTGTTGTTTGTTTTTTTAAGGTCACAGGTCTCCCCCCCCTTCCTCTTGTAATAACCATTTCCTGACTTCTTTTGTCTGCCAAAATTAAAACAAACAAAAAAAGGATGAAAGACTAGATTAAAAAAGAAAAAGAAATCAGCTATGAGATTCTTCCAATCTCAGCCTTTGTCTTCTTTTATTTATAATCTGCTACTCTGAATATTTAAAAATAGGGCATTCAAATGTAACAAATGACCAAACAGGGTGATAACAGCACATGGACCCTCTGGCACTTTATTATAAGTTTTCCAATATGCACCGGGTTGGGAGAGAACTTTTTAGTGAGTCCCATATGCCCCCATCCAATTGTAGATTCTACCACTACCATTTTACCATTCCTGCTTTGCCATACATTTATATCCCTCCTCCATTAATCCATCTTCTTTTTTCATGTGTTTATAAGTAAACTGTAGGTATCCCTTAATTTCTACCTGCAAACTTCAGTTTAATATTCACATTTTTCTTTTGATGTAAAATTTACATACAATGAAATAGAAACAGTGTACAATTTTTTTTAAAAAAATTTATTTGTTTGAAAGGCAGAGTTACAGAGAGAGAAAGGGAGAGACAGAGAGAGAGATCTTCCATCTGCTGCTTCACTCTCCAGATGGCCTCAATGGGCAGAGCTGGGCTGGTCCACAGCCAGGAGCCCAGAGCTTCTTTCGGGTCTCCCATGTGAATGCAGGGGGCCCAGGTGTTTGGGTCATCCTCCACTGCTTTCCTAGGCCATCAGCAGGGGGCTGAATTGGAAGTGGATCAGCCGGAACCTGAAGTGGCACCCATATGGGATGCCAGCGTCACAGACAATGGCTTAACCCATTATGCTACAATGCTGGCCCCAATTTCTGAGTTTTGACAAATGCATGTAACCAAACCTCTATCATGATGTCGAACCCCAGAAAGTTCTCTCATGCCCCCTTCCTGTCAATCTTCGTTCCTATTCCCCTTCCCAGACCCAGAGGCAACCACTGGCTTGATTTTTTTTCACCACAGATTATATCTGTTCTAGAATTTTATCTACTCTAGACCTTCATGTGAATCAAACAGTGTGAACTCTGTGTGTGTAAGACTTCCTTCAATCAACATAAAGCTTTTGAAATTTGTGTGATCATGTGTAACAGCAGTTCATTCTTTGGTATTGTTGAGTAGTACTCCGCTGAACGACTCTACCATGGCTTAAATATCCATTCTCCTCTCTTGATAGGCATCTGTTTTCATTTCCCTTGCAGCAAGAGCTAGTTGTGTAATTGCTGAATCACAGCTGGCATATGATTAGTTTTTTTAAGAAACTGCAATTTCTTTCTCCAAAGTCAATGTACCATTTCATATTCCCACCACCAACCATGTATGACAGTTCCAGTTGCTCCACATCCGTGCCAACATTTACTGCTGTCAGTCTTTTTATTTTAAATCATCTAGATGGGTGTGTAGTGAAATCTCATTGTGGTTTTAATTTGCAGTTTCGTGATGATGCTCTACCTATCATTTATTCATCTTTTATGAAATTTGTTCAAATCTTCTGTCCATTCAAAATTATTTTTGGAGTGAATGAGTGTTCTTCACATATCCTGGATATCAGTCCTTCACTAAGTTTGTTTTATAAATATGTTCTTCCACTCTATTGCTTACCTACTTATTTTAAAAATTGTCACTTTTCGGCCGGCGCCGCGGCTCACTAGGCTAATCCTCCGCCTAGCGGCGCCGGCACACCGGGTTCTAGTCCCGGTCGGGGCGCCGGATTCTGTCCCGGTTGCCCCTCTTCCAGGCCAGCCCTCTGCTGTGGCCAGGGAGTGCAGTGGAGGATGGCCCAGGTGCTTGGGCCCTGCACCCCATGGGAGACCAGGAAAAGCACCTGGCTCCTGGCTCCTGCCATCGGATCAGCGCGGTGCGCCGGCCGCAGCGCGCCGGCCGCGGCGGCCATTGGAGGGTGAACCAACGGCAAAAGGAAGACCTTTCTCTCTGTCTCTCTCTCTCACTGTCCACTCTGCCTGTCAAAAAAAAAAAATTGTCACTTTTCCTAAATTTTTATTTTATTTTGATTAATGAACTCCAAGTCAAAAAAGGATCCAGGAACTCAATATGGTCTCCTACATGGCTGGAAGGAATCTAACTACTTGAGCCATCACCTGTTGCCTCCTGGGGTGTGCATTAGCAGGGAGTTAGAATCTGGATCGGAGCTGGGACTAGAACAGTACAGAACATGGGCATACTAACCTGTGCACCAAACAACTGTCTCTTTTGAAGACAGACTTTTTATTTTGATGAAGTCTAAGTTGTTAATTTTTCTTTACTTTGTGGCCATTTCTTTCAGGGATCTAAACAAGGCACATTGATTTTTTAAAATTATTTATTTGAAAGAGTTACAGAGAGGCAGAGGGAGAGAGAGAGAGAGAGAGAGAGAGAGAGAGGGAAAGTCTTCCATCTGCTGGTTCATTCCCCAGATGGCCACAATGGCCGGAGCTGTGCCGATCCAAAGCCAGCTGCCAGGAACTAATTCTGGGTTTCCCACACAAGGGCCCAAGGACTTGGGGCATTTTCTACTGCTTTCTCAGGCCATAGCAGAGAGCTGGATTGGAAATGGAGCAGCCAGGACTCGAACTGGTGCCCATATGGGATGCCGGCACTGCAGGTAGTCGTTTAACCTGCTACGCCACAAGAAAATTTAAAGCTCCATTGGGCTCACTGTCATTACCTAAAGAAACTTCCATCCTTGTGCATATTGAGGAATGAATAAAAAAAATAAGTTCCCCACCCATAGGAAGAAAGACATTCACAGAGAGACCCAATTGTCAGTGATAGCTTGGGAAAACATTAGAGCAGATTG